TTGGTGGCACTGACCCGGGAATTCGCCGTAAATCAAATGAGGTGAACACAGCAAAATGCAACCTCGTCCCAAAATGGAGGGTAGGTTTGGTTCAGGGTTGAAAGAGGGCCTTATGAGGCTCTACAGCAGACTTCTAGGCTTATGTGCTGCCTCCGATAATGCCAACGAGCTTTGTGGCGGCTCGACGAGCAGCTGCCCAATTCATGCACAGGTGCAAAGTGCGCCCTGCCCCCGTCAAGCGCCTCAACCGACGGTTTCCTTTTGGCTTAGCTACAAGCAGTCAAGGGTAGATTCTGTCAGCGATGATTGGCACGACGGGGCACAAGGTGCTCAAGTTTGTTGCAAATGTGAATTTGGAGAAGTTGCCAAGCTGCACCTTCGGAAGACCTTGTGGACGCACAGCCGCCGTGGATAAATCATGCGAAGTGTCCTGTGCAGCCGCCCTAATTGAATGGCGCAAGACGGTGGAACAGGAAGTTTGAGCAGCTGTGCCGTGAGTTTGGCGATTGCACATGTAATCATGCAGACATATTCAGTATTCAGTCGGTCAAGTTGCGCAAGCAACATGTGTTTTGGGGGCAGAACGGGGGGGGGGGGGGGCAGGACAGCCGAAAAATACGTGCAGTTGCGAAGGACGCACACTTGAGGAATTGTTTACGCCTCTCGCTGCCTGTGGGCGTTTTGCATTTGGTTTGCAGCTTTGAGTGCTCAAAACGCTTGACCGAAGCCCATTGTGCTACATCAATGCTCGCCTCGGGTTCATGCCCAGTTTGTGTTAGCCAGCCCAAATACAAGACTTACCACCGAAGCCCAAACTGTGGTGAAGGAGTGCGAGTGTAGGATCGTATTGCTTTTCATGGGCAAATGCAAAACCCTAGACCCAAACCAAACCTCCACCCATAAACCCTGAATCCTAAGGCCGTATCCTTTTCCCAGAACCCTAAATGCCGTCAGCCCTGAAATCCAACCCTAAGCACACACACACACACACACACACCCTGAACCCCTTAACCCCGAACCCCCAACCCCTAAAAACCCCTAAACCCTAGGGCCCTGGGGAGCTGAAGTAAGCTTAGACTCCAGGGCCCGTGTTGCATGGATCGCGTGGCAAACGCTGCGAAGCGAGCCGGAAGCCATGCGACACATCATTTGCAGAAGGCCGCCCTGTGTTGAATGCCCGGCTTTGCACCAACAGGATCCCACATGTGCTTTGATAGAGGTTATAGAAAGCGGCATGGAGGCTCAAAGCCCGGGTTGTCTTGTTGATTGCAATTACGAACTCAGACTTGGTGACTTAAACCTGCAACCGAGTTCTTCAATTTTGAGCCCTGCAGCAGGTTTCAGAGTCGATGGACCCGTGTGATGTTTTAAGAGCTTCTAAGTGATCCATGTTGAAGCGGAAGCCTTCCGTCCACCTTCAAAACTAAAGCATTTCCAGTAAAATATGGTTTGATTCGTGCTGATTCCTCCCGTGTTTCCTCAACGACCGTGGAACCCCAAGCCCCAAAACCCACAACCCAAGTGACCTAAAGCCCTGAAACAAAAAACGACCAGGCCGTCTCAGCGGCGAAGGACTCATCTCCGAATAGTACTTGGAACGGCACCGACCTTTGTTGCAGCAGCACCCCAAGCTGTTCCACCGCCCGCTCATACGAAACTACCTCGTTCATCCTCTATCCTTATAATTTTACCTTCGGCAATAAAGCCGAAAGCTTTCCACGTAGAAAGCCCATGCCACACGGCGAACCCTTGCATCGCGGAATTTTGGCCACGTATGCAGCGTCCAGCCATTCAGTGCTCGTATATGCCGAGCGTAAGTCAGTTCTCAACTTCGGGGATCATGACCCGACTCAGCTTGGCCCTATGTGGGAGATTGCACCTACCAAGTTTGCCTTCAGTTGCCCACACGACACTGGCTCACAGCAAGACGTTTAGGTTGAGAGCGCTGCACCTTGCACCCAGAATCCTTCAACCCAAGTAGAGGTAGCCGTTGCGGGCAAAGAACAGAGATTGAGCAGGTGTAAATGTATGTTCCAGAATCCCGACTTGTCTAGGAAGCAGAGCTTTGCAGTTCATATAGAAGCTCAAATGATCAGCAATGCTATTGTTGATGGTCCCTTAGTATGATTAGAATAGAAGAACCCCAAAACCTTATTCTAACAATTGTGATCCCAGTATCGTTTTTCAGGAGCAAGGATACTTCGAGCCCATCTGCACTCAGCGGCACCTGTCTGTCCGCCACTATACCTTCGACGTGTTCCAGCAGCTTCTCCAATTTTGGCTGTGTGCATTTGCTATGGTTAAGAAATCAGTAAACTAATAAATGGCAGAATAAGAAGTTAAATGTATATGCGTCTATATGCACACACACATAGATGAATGAATGAATGACTGAAGCACTGAATGAATGTATGTATGTTTGTATGGATGCATGAATGATTGAACGAACGAACGAATGAATGAATGAACGTACGCATGTATGTACGTATGCATGTATGCATGCATGCGTGTATGTATGTATGCATGCCTGCATGTATGTATGTATGTATGTATGTATGTATGTATGTATGTATGAAAGTATGAACGGATGTAAGGATGTATGTGTATGGGTGTGTAGTATACAAACAATCAGGTAAATAACAGAATATGTATATATATATATATATATACACATATATATATATATATATACATATATGCATCTACATTTGTATATACACATACATACCAGTACTTTGCATTGGTGTTGCCAATCTCATGATGTTGATGGTCGGCATCTCGACCGTTTGCGTCAACATCGTCATTCAAGTTCTTGTCGTTGTGAGCACCAGCTAAATTCCCGTAAGCTGTGTTGAGCGATTTGGTGGGTGTGTGCATGCATTTCACGGGTTTCAGGGAGAAGGAGAGGATGTACACATCACCACAACGGGGATGTTAATTGCAGAAGTGGGGTGCGAATGGAGTAGGCTGTTTGGGCTCAGATCTTTGAGTTCGGAGGTTTTGCGGGTTTGTCCATCAACTCCAGAACCACCCCCAAAGGTACTGCGGAGACATCGTCCATGTGCTGGCGCTGCTCGGCTCGCACTTGGACCTTGTTCCCCGTTTCGACTTAAAGCTGTGTTTATCACAAGTCATTATGGATGAACTCGAAACCGTGAACCCTAAACCCCCACCCTAAAAATTTGGGTCTTGGGGCTTTGAACCTGGATTTAGAGTTTGGTGCGAATGCCTAAGACCGAGCCCTAAGGCCTTCGACTGAGGCTCTAAACTCCAGAAGACCCGAAAGCTCAAAACAAAACCCCTAAACCCTTCAACTCTGAACGCCCAGGACAACCATTAAAGCCTAAACCCCAAAATAAAAGCTGTTACTCAAACTCAACCCGCCCCTACTAAACGACGAACAAAAGGCGGGCATGACAACCGCAGGCTGGTGCTGTGCTTGGCGGTCATCCTCCGCGAGAGCGGAACTGGGGGCATCTCCTTTAAGCCGCTTTGCACAGGATTATGAGCTAGGGTTTGGGGTTTTAGGGTTTAGGGTTTAGAGGCGGGTTGGGTGTAGGGTTGGGTTTAGAACAGGTTCGGGGTTCAGGGGTTTGGGACTTTAGGATTTGGCGTTCAGGGCTTAGGGGGTAGGGGTGCTTTCGGGCTTCGGATTTCGGGAAGGTTGATTCTTCTGTTGTCTGCGGTCTGGGGTTTGGAGAGTTTTGGGTTACAGCTGTGTCTCGCACAGGCCCTGAACTGAGCCTGCTTGTTGTTTATATACTTGTTTTCAACGTCTTCAATTCAAGTAGCATGTAGCATTTCGGGTGATGATCTTGACTTTTGGACGCATTGGCGAACTTAGTTGCATGAAAAAGAGCCGAGCAAGACGATGGTTTTTGTGTTCGTGCATGTGGGCTTCGGCGTTTCTATTTTCAGGTCTCTTTTCACTTTCCTCCATTGGGTGCTCTTTTGTGCATAGGAAGGCTGGTCTCTCGACAGCCTACTTTTTTCGCCTGGATGAGATTTTTGGTGTGTCAGGGCTGAAGGGTGGCCTGCTGGTGATTGATATAACTACCCTAAGGCCCTAAGCTCACCAAATTCGTTGCATAACCGCATAGCCTTGTTGTTGACTTTGGGCTTAAAACCCAGTCTAAGCTTGGTATTTACGAGGACATTTCCAAGTTTGTTGCTAGTTATAGTCTTGGGTGCCGGAACTTGGCCATGTCAACCAGCTTTAATCCTACATGTTGGCTGAAACCTCGCTGCAAGACCCCACTCCCAACCCCGAATCACTAACCTGTGGCCGAGGACACACATCCTATACTTCATCGTGTTCACTGCGCGATTCTCGAATATTTTCTTCTGCCTCGGGCTTACAACTTGCCGATTGGTGGTTGCGTGCATAATCGTACTCTTCGCCAAACCGCATCTACATGCACGTACTCTTACCACTGGTAGAAGTACTGCCAGCCCTGCCGAGAGGAAGGATGGTGGCGGCATGTCCAATCCTGGAAAGGCTACAAACCTAAATAAAGCCGCTGTAGTTCGTTTTCGACGTGGTATTTTGGGAAGTGCGCCAAGAGGCCGGATCGCTTCAGGGTCTAACCTGGCACGAGCCTTGACATACTGAGATGCTGAATTGTAGCGTTTTTTTGTAACTCATTTTATTATGGCTCGGTTCCCGCATAATATAATAAGTAAGAAGGTAAGATAAGAAGAAGAAAAGCAAGGAGCATCAACAGTTAAGGCTGCAGACTGCCCCTTTGTTTGAGGCTGTGCGATCGAGATATGTTCAGCTCTATATGCCTCAAATCCGCAATGGTGAACATTATATACATACATACATATACATATACATATACATATACATATATATATATATATCTTTCTTCGTTCATATTTACATACATATATATATATATATAATTATATATTATGGGTAACAACAATAAATACACAAGCGTACCAGTCATGGCTGCGTCCCGAAGGCCCGGCAAAAGGAGATTGGCAGTCGAACCATGTCGAATTCTGGAGATTTGCCATCTCAGCTGCAGCGAGGTGATCAGTCCATCTACCTCGTCATCTACAAGGTGCCACCATAGGTACACCGCCCCATCGCTTGGTATACACTTGAAAACCGTAAAAAGTTGCTCACTCAACTTGTGACGACGGCCTGCTTCTATGGCCAAATATATTTGGAATGTCTGAGGGTTGCGGTTTTGGGGCAGACGTCTTTTCTGGAACAGATGTCGGACTTTCTCGGGGCCGCTGGTAGGGAAGTTCTGACAATTCTTTAGAACGTCCCACCTTCTCTTATCTTATCCACCGAACGCCATCAAACCCGAAGCCCTGAACCCTGGTATTCAGGTGCTGCTGTGGAGCGTGACGTTGAAGATTGTGCTTCGGTGCAGTTGATCGGGCTTGGCTCTGTGTGCCACGAAGCCAAGCAGGAAGTTCTCGGTTCAGGACATAGCTCACATCACGAACAGCCTCAACCCTAAATCTGAACCCCTAAAGCCCAAACGTAGTCGCATGCCATGAGTTGCAAGGAAGCCTCGGGCCCTTTTGCATTGACCCTTATCCCCTGATCGAAAAGACTCACTTCTTTCGAGCCAATGTGTAGGGACCCTGAAGCATTTGATGCTCTGATCAGGCCCGCTCTTGACACCGTCTTACTGCAGCATGCCCCTGATCCTCAAGATACTAGAAAGGTTTTCAAGCGAACGACAGTTTTGCCGGGCTGCGGGCACAGCACCAAGGTTTTCTGGTTGTAAGCATAGGGTCGGGCACGAGCCTGGAACCCCATGGCCGACAAATTGAAAATGGAGCTGTGCTCGAACCCTGAGTATTTTGGTTTTCGTTGGCGACCATGTCCTAAACCCTTAACTTATAGCTCAAGTCCACCCAAACCAACGCCCAAAACGAAGCCAATGTCAAACAAGATCCTCATCAATTAGAAGCCCTCCATTTGCCCCAAACCCAAACCCTGAAACCCAAGAGCCCTCAAGCCCCACAGCAAGCAAAGGTCTTGCTCCTGTACATTTTCGGAGCAAGTGCGGGCCTCAGAGTTCAACTCTGCAGGAGTGACAGGCTCACATGCAGGGGTTTCACATTGAGGGTTCAATGCTGGCATTTAGGGTATAAGGGGCTTAGCGGTTCCGCTCTGGGTGTAAGGGTTCGGCCCACGCTAGTTGCCACAAGCCTCTACTGCATGCAGGTGTGGACGAGAAGGACACCGTGTCCTTGCCAGCCGCCCTTTGGACGCAGAATGCGATGAGGGACTTTTGTTGTTAGGGTCTAGGGCTCGTGTCCACTCCAAAGGTTGGACCCTCGAAGCTAGAAAACTGTTGGGAAACTTAGGTGTTATGGATGCCGCTGACAGGATCCCAAAGAAACCTTGTGAAAGCCTTTTGGCCAAACCTATGATCCGCAAGGCCCCGTTTCCAGGGCCCTAAGTCGGAAACCCTAAACCCACAAGGGACAAGGAACAAAACAAACCCAAACCTTCAACCTTAGACCTTGCACCCGAAGCCCTCAAACTTAAATCCTAAATCCTGCCGCAACACATGCAAATTTCCGAAAATTAGGGGTACCTGACTTTGGGGTCCTTAGGGTACTATATTAGGGTCCCCTATTTACGGAAACCCCCACAAGGCCTTGTTCATCATCGTGGTGATGACCTTGGTCTTCGGCGTCTACTCCCTGGAAGACCACGGACTTTTCGTGGAGATCCTCTGGACCGGACAACTTGTCGAAGCCGAGATAACTAGCAGTTTTAAATTAATTATATATTATATAGTAAGGACCCCTTAGGGCTCCCTGTTATAATCATAGTATGAAGGGGCCCAAAACCCTATTCCAACTATTGAGGCCCCTTTTCTACTACCGTTTTGGGATTTGGGGTTTAGGGTTTCTGGGTAGACCTTAAGGCAGCCTTGCGACCCCGAAGCAGAATTTGTAAAGCTCAAGCTGAAGCCCTAAATCCAAAAGCCGCGCATTAGGCCTTGCATCCTAGAGGGGATGCCAGGGGTGCGTTTCGTGTAACCGAGAAACTGCCAACCCTCAACTGTAGCACATGAATGGCGAATACAACGGTCTGATTAAGTAGCAACAATGTCACCTTCTAGCCACTGTGTGTTATCATTCTGTGAATTGAGGGTCTATGATAGAACCCAAAAAAGACGTGTAATAAAGGCCCCTGCAACGTCCGTCGCGGAGTTCTCGACGAAGCACTCTGTTCGGAAGTTTCCTGCCGGAAGGATCTTTTCCACATACCTCGAGAGCATCTCGATGTTGCCTCAGCAGCTCCTTCTGATACTGGCTTGCCATAGGATTCAGGGACTAAGGATCCCGATGTCTTCGAGCTTTTGGTGCCTGAAGACACTATGGGACTTTGTGGCCGACCCTAAGTTCATTGTCTTTAGACCTCCAGCTGAAGCTACAGAATAAATCCTAGGCGGCAGTGCAAGAGTTTACTTCTCGGAGCCAGACCCATGGATGGTCAGCCCGGGCTTCGATTCTTGGGAAACATCGACCTCGGGTTAAGTGGTGTCGGCTTTGGTTTCAGGCTGTTTCAGGGGTTCACGCACCGGGACCACCAGCCACGGCTAAGAAACTCGTGAGACTTGCTCGCAAACGTTCCCTTTATCAGCCCCGCAAAGATTGAAAACCAAGAAGCATGCTCCCACGATGTAAGGTACATCTACTGCTACAGGCAGCCGGGCAGCATATTCGAATGCGGGGGCGTGTGGCGTTTATTGACAGCTTCACGGGAGGATAATTAGTAATCAAACACCCGTATAGTTCCTCTATACATACACTGTCCTCGACACATAGATAGATAAGATAGGTAGATAGATAGTTAGATAGATAGATAGATAGATAGATTCATTGATGGATTAGATAGACAGATAGATAGATAGATAGATAGATAGATAGATGAGAGCATTAGAGCGATATTATAGAAAAATAGAGAGGTAGGGTAGATAGGTTCGATAGGTACGATAGGTAGAAAGGTAGATAGATATGACTATATATTGCAGATAGATCTGTGTTTAGGCCCGCAGCCTTGACATGGAGACCTTACTGCAAGCGATCCTCTCAAGATCCAACAGGTTATGTGGCACGAGATCGCAGAAGAAACCGCTGACGGCCCCAAACCTCGATGCCTTTTGGGCTTGGGACTTGAGTGTGAGGATAGTGTACTCCCGATGTATAGTCATCTACAACCAGGACTGCACCGACACGATCGAAGTATGCTTGCACGGTGGGTTTGCTGGACGAGGTTCATGTGAAGAGGATCCATACATAAGAGAATAGAATTCAAAGGCTCCCTGACTGCACGTGTTTTTTCTGGAGACTTCCCATAATACAATCCTGCTACTTTTTCGGGCAGGGACGCCGACAACAAGTGCCCCTTGGTCTCCTCCTACGTCTTCGCCATGGGTGGATGCTTTGGCTTGCCAGTTTAGTTTCACAGTCAGTCTTGGGGGTTGTCTCGAGATGGCAGCTTTCGCCTCGATTGGCCGTTCGACTGGAGTGCGAGGCCTGAGGAACCCTTGCCGCTGTAAGCCCCGCCTGTGATGAGATTTCTGCAGCTGAGGATACCAGATGGTCTTCGGCGTGAGCTGGGGCCATCACTTCCTTTTCCGCCACCCGGCTCCGGGTTCCGGGTTTTCTTTGTATTGAGATTTAGAGCTGTATGGGATGACTAGGAACAACTGCTTTGCGTTCACGAGGTAAGACTTTCAGCGTGAGAAGAGTTGGGCATTACGGCTTCGAGCCTCGAGGAGGCCCGAAGGCTTGGGCCGATGTCCCGCGCAGGGCCCCAGGTTGCCACCCTGAGCACTAAAGCCTTCCATGGGGCTCGGCTGCTACCGTCCAGATTCCGTGGCTGCAGGTCTTAGCGAAGGAAGATCAGGCTTGTCCGTTAGAGCAAGGATTGCTTCTTGCCCGAAGGAGCAAATACACCACCATAAACTAGTGCTCAGGGATTTTACCATCAAAGGTTCATGTCGAGGCGCTTCTGGGGCCTCTATGTACGGTTGTAGCTTCCGTCCTCGCTCCGAGGGCCCTACGACCTGGATGTCAGCAGCATGATTTCCGGTTTTCTGGGTATCGTCCTCGCCTCAGACGCAGGGTTGCGTGCTATTGGGCTAAAAAGGGTGTTGTAGCAGAGCTACAGAATTCAACGTCGGGCTCAGGCCCAGGTAGATTTCGGGCTTGTGGCTAGTCTTGCGAACCATCGTGTTATCCCACCTTCGGCAGAACAGTCGGGTAGTACCTCCTGGGTAGCATGGCGTAAGCAATGGGGCGAAGGGAGAGCTCGAAAAAGAACAACAATTTACCATCAGCAGGGCTGCTTCCGGAGACCCTTGATATGGTATTTTGGGGCCTCCCTCCTTTAGCAAGGTTTCCAAAAACGTCGAAGGCCTACATTGTTCGTAGGATCCTTCAAGGAAGACCGGTTCATGTCCCGACCATCAAGCTTCCTTGTTGAAGCTTATATTATGCTGAGACATAAACTCGAGAACTGCAAGTAGGCCTGAAACCATACAAGCTGCAGACGTGTTACATCCCGAAGTCTCAGCACGGCACTGCAAAAAGGCCACGCTTGTACTGCAACCGATACATATATATATATATATATCCGTAAAGAACCTGCAAAGAGCCCTTACAGTACCTCGGTATAGCACCGTGCAATCTGGAAAATCCGCCTTGCACCTCCAGGTCTTCTTTTGCGACTACTTGGCGTTTCGCGTGCTGGGCGTCTCCATGCTCGCCGGGCCCTGAAAAGAGACAACAAACAGAATAGAGTATCAGCTACTGATGCAGAATCATGAGCTGCACGTCCGTAATTGCTCATGAGCTGAAGTCTAGCGGGAGTTATACTGCATTTCCGTTTGGAAAGCTCAGTGAGTCCAGTGCTAGGAATGTCTATTCTGCAAGTTCTGCTGACGTTGGCGGCCGATATGAAGTGGTGCTTGAACATGCCGAACGCGAGACCCTAGACCTGCCCCAGTAGTGTATTCGGATTGATGACACCCTGCACCTCAAACGTGGCATGTAGGTTCTCATCCGTTCTCTAAGCCCATTGTGCACAGGCCCTAAACCCTAAACCGTGCAACAAAAACTCTGCAGAAAGCCTGGACCGAACGAAAGATGATTCCCCGTTTTGAAATGTGCTTGACTTGGGTCGTTTGTTCCCATAGTCCCATAAATCCTTGAACCCAGAACAACAACGAAAAGCAAACTTGGAACCTGAGATGTTGCGTTGCTTTGACCCGCAAGCTTGAACGCGACACCGGCGTAAGTGTAGGCTAGGAGTCGAGTGCCGGAGAACTCCCGGTCCTGGATGATCACCCTCAGCCCCAAATACAACCCAAACCCTGAACGCTACACCCTAAACCCCCTACCAAACCCTAAAGACCCCCAAACCCCAAAACCCTACCAAACCCATCTGCACCCCAAACAAGCCTTCAACACCAATCCCTAACGGCCCTAAGCCCCAACCTTTGCATTCCCCTTTTCAGGTCCAGGTCTGCATCTCCGTCGACGATACGATCAAGGAGGCCGAGGCACGTGACCCTTCCTTTCAAATCGGGTTCAGGGAGTTTAGGGAGTGTAGGGTTTAGGTTCGTTTCCTTCTGGTCTTGCAAAAGAGGCATGATACTGGGGAACCCGGTTCCTGCCAGAAAGATTCCCTCAACCCTATAAGCCTTAAACGAGAAGAGCAACGACGAAGTTCCAAGGAGGCTGCTTGGAGCCTGGTGGCCGGGCAGCCGGTGCAAGGCCGCAGCCGAGTAGTGCACCGTTCGGATTTGTAGAACTGTCTGGTGCTTAGTAGGGAATGGGGGAATGGGTTATAGGGACTACTATACCCATTCCCTACTAAGCACCAGACAGAAAAGCCCAGTCAGAGTTTGGCAAAGCGGTTTGAGCAACAAAAGAACGATGAGTTTAGGCAAGCTGAAGCTGGAGGTAAAGCTCGATGGCATGCCTCCAAAGCTAGTACTTTCAAAGCTAACCTAGCAGCACGAGGCATGGACTTTTCGGACCCCATCAACCCAGATGTCATTGGCCGTCGAGAGGCCTCACCGAGACTAGCCGGGGGGTCAACGGTTTCGGCTTCAGGCTCGCGGATGACAAGTCAGGGTTCAGAGTCCTTCTTGATGCGAAAGGACACAGTTGGTTCGATGGTTCCTTCAAAGGATACAGCTCTTTTTTGTTTCGGAGTTGAGGGTTTGGGCTTGAAGTTCAAGTGGTTGAGGGGGGTTTTGCGTTAACCAGAAACCCGACACCCGAAGCCCTAAACACTACACTTCAAGCCCTGCTTAGACCCCTACTACCCCATTGTCCAAGGGCGGCCCGGAAAACCACAAAACATGTTGAGGCCAAAGCGCAAGCTTCTTGGGACGGGATGGCTGAAGGGCCCTACTGTAAGTCTTAAAACCTGATCTGGAACCTTTGGAGCACCTGAAGCTACTCAAAACCGAAAAACGACATCGTTGTTTTCAGGTCCGTTTTGCGTTGTGCTCGGTGTCATAAGAGGATCGCGCCGAATTTTTTGTCTGCTCCATTCACAAGACTGGTGGACCCAGATCCCTTTACCTTGCATCGAGGAGATCGAGATGGCAACAACATCGTCGGCCCCTGTGGAGTACCACCGGAGCATGCGGCTGACGGCCTAATCTGAGCCCGAAGCCCTGCAAAATCCAGGGCCTATGGTTTCGGGGGTTCAGGCTTAGGCCGTGGCCAGCATTGAGGACCTGCTGCGCAACTTCAATCGGGCCGACGGTTGGCGGTCTTATAGGAGAGTGAGTGCTATAGGAGTTGGGGATTGGGCTTGGGATGGCATGAAAGGGCTTAGAGGCTTTTAGGGACTAGGGTTGAAGGCTTCGTCAAATAGAGCGTCGAGGATCGCGGCGAAGAAGTTTCACCTGATCTCAAACATCGGCTTTGATCGCTTCAAGTCAAAATGGGGGGGGGGGATTCCGAACAAGCAGAGCTTGCTGGTTCTTGTAAATAAACAAGAATACAGGCTAAGGCGGCTAAGCTTAGGCAGGCTCAACCTGTTGTGTTCAAGTGCAGACTTTGCGACGTCGAGAAGGCGCATGTGTTCATGTTGAGCTGCAAGAGGAGGAATCACGGGCTCGGTGAAAAGGTTTCAGGCAATGGCTTTCATGTTTCTTTGTTGATGGTAAAACATGCTGGGCGACCTGTTCAGTGGCTCGAAGCCGCACTCTTCCACTGAAGACGGGCATGTTTTATTCGAGGTGCACGGGAGATTGTATGACTGGTCTGGTCTTGCCCAAACGAACCCGCATGAATTAGGAGAGGAGAAGACACATTATGAAATGCTGTGAGTTTCTACCCTATGACGATCGTAAGACGCTTAGCTGGGAGCTACAGCCCCAGCTCATGATTCAGATCAAGAAGCTGCAATGCGAATGCCCCTTGAGCTATCCAACCCGGCCTTCAACAAAAGTTCACCCAACCCCAATCTGGGAGCCCCCAGCCCGCAGGTCCTAAACAATCCTTGAAAGCTCTAAGACTAAGACCCTAAGACTCCAAAACCCCTGCCAACTTTGAATGTTCCTTACCGCCATGCCATGGCGGGCCATGCCTCAACGGCAAGCGGAGCAGATATTTCTTGCCGCGCTTCTTCTGTGCCTCGGCTGGCACTGAATGTGGGTAAGAACGTTTGAACTGGTGACCTTGCCTTCAAAACCATGAATGTAAAGCTTGCTGCTCATGCTGTGCTACGACGACAGCTTTTCTTGTGCGTCACATGTTGCTCAGTTGAGTTGAGCAACTTTGCCTTACGTCCTAGTTCATGACTATTTGACAAGCTTGTTTTGGCCAGGTCACCACAAGAACGGCCAAATGGCTTAGGGCCCCTCAAGCGCCAGGCTTCAACAGCGAATAAATCCTCCACCTGCGGCTGCATAAACGGGCGCTTTCTGGGCTGGTGTTGGGGCTGGGGTTGGGTTCGGGGTTCGGGCTTGGAGATTACAACAAAATCAATTCATTGCGGTCGGGGTTCCGGCTCAAAGGGCCTAGCGCCAGATGCACTAAGAACTCCAGAGCAATATCCGCCCTTCGGTACTGGATCTTGAGTTGCATTCCTCGCATTAGGCCTAGACTGAGATCTTACTGATGCCCCGTGGGAAAGGTGGTTTGCGAGCAGTGGTTTGCGACAAGGTTTGCGATAAGGCTTTTGATGGCTTTTGGTTCCAGGGAGAGTGGGCTTGAAGGTTCGGGACCTGGGGAATTCCGATTTACTGTTTGCCAGTTAGGGCTTTAGGCTTTAGGCTCTGCGGGCTTGCGGTTTTGCGGTTCGAGGTTTCAGAGTTCTGTTTAATCTCTCAACGATTCAGGGTTTAGAGGTTTAAGTTTCAGAAATCCTAGCCCCCCCTTATCGAAGCCGTATAAGTCTGAAACCTCCCCCCCAAACCCGAAGCCCTGAACCACGATTTTGGAGCACGCTAAAACCCGAAAGACTCATAAGCACCCTTCGAGAATCAAATGATTCATCAGTCCATACTTACAAATTGACAAAACCCTTACTTAAGCATTGATCGCCCTCCGATTTGAGGTGCAGCTTTGCCTCTGCCGCCCCTCCGTGTACAGAGGGCCAAGGTCGGATGACATCAACTGTGCTTTGGGGTGTGATGTGGGTTTCCGGTCTCTCTAGGGCTCTATTTATTCTGAAGTGTGCCAATGCAGAGCGCTGGGGCTGGGATTCAGGGGTTCAGTTTGCGGCGCAGGTTGGTTTAGGGTTGAGGCGTGGGGTTTTACCAAGGCCGCTTAGCCGCTTTTGGGCTTCTACTGGTAGGGTCCATGTCACCTCAGCTCCCACGAGCTGCCTTGTAGGGCTTGGGTGTGGGTTTTGGTGTTTGGGGGGGGAGGGCTCCTGTGTCTTCCAGGGTGAGGTTCTGGGTATTTTTGGGGGAGGAGGAAGGACTTCTCCTGGCATGTGCTGGATGATTCGGGGGCGTGTCTGCAAACCCTTCTTGCACCGAAGCCTGCAACCTTCACCCCCTCACATCAAAGCCCAAAACGATAAGCAAGGCCTAGACGTACTCCTATATACTCCCTGTGCGCGTACTACTTGTTATACACGATGATATGTTACACCCCCTATAAGGCATATCACACCACTACGTTCATCAGGAACACGAAGGGCAGAACCCAGAACTCCAGTCCATGCGAGGTTTCAACGAGTCGTCGCAGGCTTGTTCCGACTGTGCGCCAGGTACGTACATGAGCTCCGCAGCTTCTTCATAAGGTTCTGTCAGGGTTTGGGGGCCAGGGTAGGAGAGGCTGGGTTCAGAGCTTTCGGCAAGTTTGGGGTGCAGGAATTCTAAGGGCATTTGGGATGCGCCGGCGTCAACGAGTCAGCTGTCTGGTCTTTGGGGATACTTTAGTGCTAAGGCTCTTAAGCCCAAACCCGAAACCCTATATGAATGAATTTACCAGGACCCTTTCTGTATAAGGGTATATGCCCCCAAATAGTAGGTAGCTAGGGTCGAATAACAAAGGTAGATGGAGCTTCTTAGGCAGGCTTCAGGAGTTCGTCGTTGAAGGCTTTCGGGTTTGGCCATATGTTGAGTCGACTGCGTTGTAGCTTACTGTCGAGGCTTAGGACTGGGAGCTTCAGAGCTCAACGGCTACGTGGCCTAGTTCCTAACGGATACAGACACCTTCACAATGCCATACTTCTGTTACAGAATGGCAGTGTGAAGGTGCTCCGGCAGATACCTCCGAACACTCAGCACCTTAAGCCCTTGATAGGAGTGCAAAGCCCCTCAAACTGGCCGTTTACGAAAAGCACCACCCTAGACCTCACACCCAAACAGCCAAACCCTAAACCCCCCAGCACCCAAATCCCCAACCTTTCTTCAACCGAAAAATGGAGCCCCCTCGAATCCAAGGAGTTGAACATGGTAATTAGATGATTCACGGTGGATGTTAGTTTTGTTGTTCTATGGTTGGGGTTGGAAATGATACTCTTGCAAGTTTGTTGCTTCCACCAGATGACCTTCCCAGACCCTAAAACCCTACACCCAGCTTCCCCTTATAGTCACTATTATGGTCCTATTGCCTCCCCCCAGCCCCACTCTAAGTCTGAAGCCGAGGCTACGTCAATGCCACAGGGAACCTGACCTTTTCCATTGGGTGTCGGCCTTGTCTCGCGGGAAGGTATAGTGCCTCGGCAGAGGAACCTTTGCCACTTGTTCAGTGTTTCGAGTTTCGGGTCTACCTGGACGCTACAAAACCTACCTGTTTAGGGTTCCTTAAACTTCCTTGTTATGATTTCTAGGTTAGTATTAGGGCTAAGGTAGGGACCGCTTTAAAGGACGAGAGGCCTGGGTTGAGGGGCTCAGGTGGTTTGGGGCCTTTGGGGTTGCAACCCTCGCGGCAAGGCATTCTCTTACAAAGTTGTATTGATTGGAGTTTAGGGTTTCGGGTTTAGGATGTTTAGGGGACTGGATCCTGCGCGATGGTTTTTGTTGGTAGCTGCTTGGCCATGGGATCCCTGGCCAAACCGGCCTCTCGAGCTTTCATCGTTTTGGTAGAACTTCTCCATTTTGCTTCGACAGTTCGAGGTTTCGAAGCTTCTGGGTTTCATAACTTGAAACTTTAAGCTTGGTTCTACGTGGCTTTAAGTCAAGAGCTACCCTTTGTGATATATGAGGCTGTCCACGCTGCTGGAAGTCAGGATTTATATAGTCTTCTGTGCTCTAGAGTTGTACCAGACATTGTTTCACTTCTGCTGGGAACCGTGCGCCCCAGGCCCTCCGCCAGAGGCAGTTTCATCTTAAGCCACGAGCCCGATAAGCTAGAAATCCTGAAGCCTGAAATAGTCCAAGAGGTCTGAATAATATGCAGCGGTATCTAAGCATAGACCGCAGATAAGCATCCAATCAGTAGGCTAAGGCCTCTATGGTAGAGCGACCTGCTCGCCTCCAGGTGGGGCGGCAGCTTCCGCCTGCTCTGTTTGTCCTGCGGGGCGCTGGAGATCAACTTTCTGGTTTAGGGTGATTGATTTTCGGGCTTCAGGGCTTTCAGTCAAGGCTTCTGTTACGAGGCTGGGGTTTGTCTGAGAGCTTGGATGTACTTGGAGAAGCCTCTGGGGACCTGCATCGGAACCCTTATAGTAGGGCGTATAGGGTCTTGGGTCTTAGAGTTTCAGTGTTTAGGGCTTAGGAGACCAACAGGAGCTGGGCGGCCTCCTCCAGTTGCACGGCGTGCGCACCGGGCACCTTCAGCTGCTCGATGCGTAAGGGGTCCATCGAGTTTCAGGGTTTAGGGTCAAGGGTGTTATTCACGGTTTAGGGCTTAGGAGTTTCGCAAGGTTCGGGGTTTCAGGTGTTACACGTAGCGTTTCGAGACTGCCATTGAGGCTTGGGGAATCGTCGGGATCTATGTATGTTTTTCTATAGTTGAAGCCCCATCATCCCTAAAGGGTTCTTTTCACACGCTTAGTCATGTCGTGGCCAGAATGAACGAATGGGTCTCTTCGGACCGGGGCTGAACGCTTCGAGTTGGTGATGAAACAAATGATGTCATTGAGCCCTCGTGGAACTTGTTTGAGCCTGAGCCCGACAAGCTGCAGCGATTTTGGGTTGATAGTGTGCTACGCCCAACAGAGTTCATAGGGCTACAGTGGAAGAAGGGTCTGAGC